CTGTACGCACGGGTGTACGAGGAGCTGATGGCGATCCCCGTGGTGAAAGGCAGGAAGACGGAGAAGGAGAAGTTCGCCGGCGGCGATTATACCACCACAGTGGAAGCCTTCATCTCCGCCAGCGGGAGAGCCATTCAGGTGCGCGCCGATTTCTCACTGCCCCTCCCACGCTGCCCGGGTCCCCCCTCACACCCTCCCTTCCTCTCTCCTCCCAGGGGGCCACGTCGCACCACCTGGGCCAGAACTTCTCGCGGATGTTCGAGATCGTGTTTGAGGACCCGCTCCGGCCCGGAGAGAAGCAGTTCGCCTTCCAGAACTCCTGGGGCATCACGACCCGCACCATCGGCGTGCTGACCATGGTGCACGGGGACGACCAGGGGCTGGTCCTGCCCCCCCGCGTGGCCTGTCTGCAGGTGGGGGGCACAGGGGGCTGGGGCGTGGGTGGCGTCTCGCCACATTGCAGCGTGGGCCACGCTCTCACTGGGAGGAGCGTGCCCAGCTTAGGGCCGGTTCAGCAGGCCGGCACACTGCGCCCAGTCAGCAGGCTCAGAGACGGGCGGGCAGCTCCTGGAGGGGGGGGTGAGGCTGGGTTGTGGACGGTCTTTGTTAGCAAGGCCGATGAAGCCAGGAGCGAGCGCTCTGCTGCTGCTCGATGGCTGCAGGAAGTTTCCATTTCCTTTCCACATCTCCTCCGAGTTCCAGAACAGTTTAACTGCTCTCTCTCCCTCTGACACCCTCCTCCTCCTCCTCACCTCCCCCTGTGCTTTGACCTCTGTCTCCCAGGTGATCATTATCCCGTGTGGCATCACAGCCTCTCTCCCAGACTCCGAGAAGGAGGTCCTGCTTTCCCGCTGTTCCCAGTATCTGGAGCGCCTCACCCAGTCTGGTATCCGGGCTCGAGCCGACCTGCGGGACAACTACTCTCCTGGCTGGAAGTTCAACCACTGGGAGCTCAAGGTACCTCGTAACGTAAACCTGTACCCCGAAATACCTAAATATGCACCCCAATGCCCAGGAGTACCCGGACAACAGCAGTGTGAGAAGAACCCCTGAATCCCACACTGCGCCCATGCATACTCTCTGTACCCCCACACACCCCACAGCCCCACGGCACTCCCCACACACCAGTACTCCAATATTGCAGTACCCCAGTGAGCAATGGGTACAGCATTCGTGGTGCTGCTAACTCTCCTCCTTTCCTGCTCTCCCCTCCCGTCCTCGCTCCTGCGCCCCCTGTCTGCGCAGGGCGTCCCGATCAGGCTGGAGGTGGGCCCCAGAGACGTGAAGCTGGGCCAGTGTGTGGCTGTCCGGAGGGACACCGGGGAGAAGATCACGCTGCCGGAGACGGACGCCGAGACCCGGCTGAGGCGGCTGCTGGAGGACATACAGACCCACCTGTACAGCAGGTAGCGGCGCCGCCCTCACTCTGGGGGCGACCTGGGACCCCTGCGGCTCTGACACGCACACGGGGGGGCTCTTCCACCCGGTGAGGTTCATATCGTAGTCGAGGGAGACGCTGTCCATTTTGGACACTCGGGATGAGTCATTCAGCCAGGGGTCAGGGCGTCA